TATATATAATTTATATATCTAATTTAATTTATCTAATTAACAATTTTAATATAAACAACGCTCTTGTCGAATTGTCGAATATATTTTTATCAAATGAATTCTTTGTCAACGACAGTTGTCATCAGTTTCATTTCCTTGTGATAAATAATAAAAATGTATGATTTATATATCTAATTTAATTTATCTAATTAACAATTTTAATATAAACAACGCGATAAGTTTCTTGTCGAATATATTTTTATCAAATGAATTCTTTGTCAACGACAGTTGTCATCAGTTTCATTTCCTTGTGATAAATAATAAGAATAAAAAAATGTATGAGAAATAACAAGAGATAAAAGGCATAAAAATGTAAGAGTAATACGCACACACACATACATATATACAATAATCATCATCTTTCTCAGGAAAGCATGTAACAAGGCGCGTTACGAAACACATTTTCCCGGTAATAATACAAATATAATACCCGGCGTTGTAAGGCAATAATATTCCCGAGTCGGCGAGATAGATTTAACTGTGCATTATAACGTACATCGATCCTGGACATACGCAATCACGCATATCCCGACGCAGAACGAAGAGAGCCGATCGGCGACGCAACGGCGCGGGCGGGCCACCCTTGGAAAGCGGTTCATTTCTTCGAAGGTGGGCGCTTACGCAAACCGCGACGGATTACGCATTGCGCAGATCCGGAAAAACGCTTGGAATTCGTTTCACAATGACGACATGACCGACACAACGTCGCGCGACGCCATCGCCGAACCGTCTCGCGAACGGACAGACACACAAAGGGCCATTGTGCCGATTTTTATCCCGTGTCGCGGATCTAATCGCCCACGCGAAATGCCTGCGCGCTCTCGCGCGAATCGCCGCGCCGCGCCGGGACTATGATATCAAGGAGCGCGTTACGCACATGCGAGTTATTTACTATCGTATCAAGGTTGGTGCGCGCGCGTGGTCTTATGACAGATATACGCTTCAGCTACCATGGTATATCTCAGTTTTCAACTATAGTACACTGACATAATAAAAGAGAAAGAAAGAGAGAGAATGCATTGTCCTCTCGCTTAAGAATCATTTTCGTATTGCATTCCGTTTGTTTTCGCTAACCCCCATCGATAAAAATATTTCAGAGCATTGTCCCCCCTCCCCCTCAAGCTATATACATTCGCGGTATAGATCTTGATCTCTTATCGGGGGACATTGTTTGAAAGTAATGGAATTATGTTGGTGTATGTACGGACAGGATGCAGTTAAGAGTGCGTGACGCACATAGCACTTGCTCCAATCTCTGACTTATGGGAGCGCTAACTTTGAAATGAACACGTGTGTTCAAACATTTCCATTCGTATTCCTTGCGCAGCGCATAACAGCACCATACATACCGTTCGTATCATATCATTACGCTATAAAATAACGTATGTCATTAAAAATTATCGGTAATTGTAATTACAATACATGTAATTACGAAAAGTACGATTTCTTGTTTCTCTCTAATTTACTCAATGTAATTATCTCTGATTATGTTAAGTGTCTAAAATGTTTTAATATTTATATTTGTGAAATAATTAATATATTATCGTATTAATGTGTGATACACAGGAAAACACGTATTGCGACTACGTTATCGAAGAAATGCAAGGGAATCAAACAATTGTACGAAAGCCATAGCCGAATGTCAAGCTACAAATTTCGTGAAAGCGCCGAACGCCTAGATACAACATTAATCAAATTGTATTGAAGAACAATTCCTATTCAGCGCGCATCTTCAGCATACTTTTTCCTTTTCGTACTTTACATGCCTCGTCGTCGCCTGTACGAATGATCGAATGACAAAATATATAACTTTTTACCATGTTCTCCTTTACTACGCTACGTGATAGGTAAAATCGACTGATCGCCCGTTGATAGTTCAAGCTAAGAAAAAAGGGGAAAGACGTCGCGCGCATGTCCAGTCTTTAGTAGGTCACTCTTCTCAGTGTGCTCGTCCCGTCGTACTTGTCACGTCGCGAAATGCGCGCTACGTTCAACTTGCGAATTCTCTTATCAACCATAAAAATTTTCATCATATAATCCGCGACAATGTAAATCCTCGCTAAATATCGTAAACGCATCTCCGAATCTATCGCGATTACATCAACCGTCACGAAATCTCATATATTTCTCGTTGCGAAAATTTCACTGTCGCGTGCATATGATCCTGATCCGCCGCGTGATAACGCGCGACACAAACGCAGATGTCATTAAGCGCGGAAATTAGCGGACCACGTGTCTGTCGCGTCGAGGTGACTCGCACGAATGCGCATGCGCGAGTTAGTGGGTCGCCCGCGCTCGGAACTCGAAACCGCTTCGGCGGCGTTCGGCCGCGTTCGGCTGCGTTCGGTTCGATTCGAACGCGCGCCCACCAACCACCAACTCCCGCTACCCGCCACATGTACGGCGCGGCGGTCAGTCGGTCGATTGTACGCAACGCGCGAGGGTCGCGAGAATTCGCGAGAGGCACGGTCGCGCATGCAACGAAGACGAAGAGACGAGGTTAGCTCGCGATAGAGCGGCTGGATAAAATCTATCGAACGAAGACGCAACGGCACTGCGGGACGAGGAGGATCAGGTGGATTTTCTGTCGTCGTCGACACAACCGCGCACAGACGAAACAAAGTCGATCATCTCTCCTCTCGATTGAGAGCGCCGAGAGATCGATCCTCGCGCGCGAGGACAGCAGCTGATAAAAGGTTGGAGCTGCGAGCGAACGAGCTATGGTATACGGAGGAGGATTCGACATGGTGGAGACGGTGAGTTTTGATGATTTCGATTCTTTGATTATTTTTCACATTATGCGTTTGATATGAATTTTCTATCGTAAATCGTTTTCTGAAAGTAAACAGCGGCTGGATAAAATCTATCGAACGAAGACGCAACGGCACTGCGGGACGAGGAGGATCAGGTGGATTTTCTGTCGTCGTCGACACAACCGCGCACAGACGAAACAAAGTCGATCATCTCTCCTCTCGATTGAGAGCGCCGAGAGATCGATCCTCGCGCGCGAGGACAGCAGCTGATAAAAGGTTGGAGCTGCGAGCGAACGAGCTATGGTATACGGAGGAGGATTCGACATGGTGGAGACGGTGAGTTTTGATGATTTCTCGATTCTTTGATTATTTTTCACATTTATGCGTTTGATATGAATTTTCTATCGTAAATCGTTTTCTGAAAGTAAACTCGAAAATTTGAATAGATAGATGCGATTCGCGCAGCTGCAAATATGTGCAGTTTCTTGTACCGCCGTATCTCAGAGACTGATCTCTTGCAAAATATAATTGATAAATATTAAGACTTCCGTGTCTCGATATAAACAAATGTGTCAAAATGCCATAGGAAGGAATTGTGATAAGGTCCGATTTTCTCGGCAGATAGCGCGCGTCAAAGTAGTTACGGCCCTATCGAGGAAAGATACGAGCCGGCGAGTCGGTCGTACGGAAGGCTAACTTTCGAATCTACCACCACTATAGGCAGTGTCGATAGTTAGGTACGAGAACCGAGAAATTCACTTGGCTGGTACGTGATGGAAAATTTCGCGGTAAAAACAGAAGCGAAACCCGTTGTCGGTCCGCGGTTTTCTTGGCGGCGCAACTTTTACCGAGCACCGTTTGTCGTCTTCCGCAAAACGTGTCGCTTAGATACGACATCCGTATTATTGTGCGCGAATCGCGCGTTGTTTACCTATTTTAGAAAATTTCCAACGTCTAGATAGTCGTCATTTCGTTTTATTTAGGCGTCTCTCCGATTTATTTAGGTGAACCGATCAATTGGAATAAATTACTAGGCTAAAATTTGGGAATTTAAGAGATATAAAATTAAACATTAATATTTTCTAAAATTTTTTTATCTCCAAAAATTTATTCATTTTAGTTTATTTGTAAATATTTTTGTCTTTACATAAGAGATAGCATATTAAATTTTATGTAATCTTGTCTGGCGTTACATTTTTTTAGAGACACTTTTTTTAGAGGTTGATGTTATCAACGGGATAATATTGACAAAATAATATATCATTGTAAATGTTTTTTTTTTTAATTTTTATATCTCCATATTCTTCAGTTTATTCTTAGATAAATTTATCTTTATGTGAGATAGCATATTAAATTTTATGTAATTTTATCCAGAGTTACACTTTTTTAGAAACATAGGCTGATGTTATTTAATATTAATGAAATAATACATTATCGTAAATGTTCTTTTAGTAATAATAAAAATCAGTTTCTACAATGCTGTTTATAAAGATAATAGTTGATAATAAATTTATTGGCAATTGTATCAAAATTTGTAAATAACAAAAACTACAATAAACTTAAAGATATAATTAGCATGGTTTTAGATGCTTTTGCATTAAGTTTGCATGAAATATGTATAGATATTTGATATGGCAATTATTAATATTATGCATTATATAAATGATTTTATGCTTGGAGCAATATTATATTTTTTATTGTTATTTTTTAATTTAAAAAATAATTTAATAATTATTCTGTGGAGTAATCAATCTATCATTTCACGTAATTGAAAACATATGATATTAGAAGACAGAGAAGTGTTTTGCAAAAGAGATCTTCGCAAAGAAGTGTATCCGAGTTTATCGTCCGTGATATGCGCAAGAAACGAAAAGTAATTAACATACGAATACACGATCGAACAACATTTTTAACGACTTTCTGTTGAACTTTGCTTTCCGAATTATAGATTATATTTCGTGGATAAGCGTCCATTATCGCGCGCCTCTTTTTCGTAAAAGATTCAAATATTTACGCACAAAATTCTCTCTCCGATACTGAAATAAATAACAGTTGCATATTTATACAATATTAACATTTATGAGAAATGTAAAAGACGGTTGTTTACAACCAATATTTTTGCAATTTCAATCTTGATTTTATCTCAGCAATATAACTATACATAACTGTTATGTTGATCGCGTAACATTTTTGTAAATTTTATTTTTGCGTATTTCTGTCTTTTTCTTTTATTTTCACGTTTTTATTATCGCTTGGTCCTTAAATTTTCTCTAAGAACCTTACGTTAACATCATGCTCGTGCAATCGGCGCGAAAAAGATCGAATCTATCTACTATCTACTATCTACTTTGTCTAGTGAAAGGAGGCAAGAAAATTTAGACTTTTCTCGTTCCGATCATCTTTCTCTCTCTTTCCAACTGTCTTTTCTCTCTTTCCTCTCTTCTCTCTCTCTCTCTCTCTCTCTCTCGCGCGCGTTCACAGTCTTTGTCCAGCTTGTCGTATTTTCGGTCGCCGATGTACGTGTGGAAAAGCGCGTGTTCATATTATGCGAAACTTATTGTCGGCGATAGAGCCTGGCATGTCGCGTCGAGTCGTATCGAGTCGTATCGCGCGGTCGCGTAAACAGGGCGTAATTAAAAAATTGTCAGTAGCCGGTCTTTGTGCCGGCGGGAGCATTGTATATAGCAGGCGTCCTTGCCAAGCCAATTCGAAATCCTGTCTCGCGCGGGCTCGCATTAGCGAGGGCGTGGTTGGTCGTTCGTTCCTGGTCCGAGGATAGCCAGCCTCGGATAGTAATTGCACCAGACTCGTTTCCACCGCGCGATTTTTATGGTTTCGACTTCTTTCCGCGCCCCTTCTTCTCTTTCTTTTTTTTTTCTCTCTGTCTGCTTTTTCCTCTTCTCGACGTCGCGAGATTCGTGACTGTGGATATACATATATATTATACCTCACGAAGATCTGCTCTGATTTTTAATACCGCGCGATTCGATCACCGCGTTCGAAATCTTTTACGTGGATTTATCCGATTGAATGGATTTATCGAGATTGAATATATAATCGGCCAGTTTGGCTTTCGATGTCATACGAAGACAAAGAAATAATGTTTAAAACTGCGAAATAAGATGGCGCATAATGAAACTAACGAGATAACATCGCGAAATTCGATAAATATCATTCTTATTATCTACAAAGATTTATTAGTTACGAAGATTTTCTCTGCTTCCTCTCCCTTATATCATCTATATTATATGTTGTTATATTTGAGAAAACTTATAGATAATATAAGTCAAGTCATTTACATATCTACATATGTTCTTCGATTTATCAATAGGACATAATAAATTACGTAAGAAACGATCAAGCCTTTTCTCTTACGGATTTCTTTTCACATAATATCGGTTATCGATATTTATTACGTTAGAAATTCGCTAGCTTTATTGTACACAACTCGGAGATAAAGGTAGAACGCACGTTCGATTCATTCGAGGCGACCTTGTTGGTTTTCTCGGAACTGCGACATCGCATCTCGCCCTCTCTTGGTGCCCTTTCACCTTTCTCCTCTTGTCTTCTCTGGTGCGGTTCTGACTTTGCAAGCGGCCTAACAATCTCCATTATTTTCAATGAAAAATCGATTAAATTCCGATATGTAATTTCATTATTATTATTCCTGCAGCTGCTTTAATCATTATTTGTATTTTTATTTGTCTCAATAACTTGAAATTATATTTACGGAGTTTAAAGCTAAAGATTTAAATTTTTCTTCTTTATAAATATTTCAATATTATCTGTCGATTTATCTCTTTTTTTCGAAGAATTACAGTAAAGCTTATCGAAAATAAGGGGAAACGGTAAGTAATATAAATGTAAAACATACAGAAAGTATGTATAAATAGCAAGAAATATCTGTAAGGGCGGTATATTTGAAAAGTTCGTGTTTTAAAATCATTACGCAATATTCGGCAACACATTACATTTCGGAATTTAAGAATGATTCAGAGACTCTTGCCAGACGTAGTGTCTGAAGTCAGCGAGAAAAAGACAGTAACGCATATGTAAAACAGGAGAGATTGGCTAAGAGAGAGAGAGAGAGGGCAAATTTACCGCACTAATTAATTAAGACTACTAATGATTCATATATTTAAAGTTTTTCACGAAGGCCAATCGCCAACCGGTTGAAAACACAGATCTGTGGGATAATTTCGATTCGAAAATAGCTGATTCATAATATATATTTTACTAGAGTACCACAAATTATTAAGACTTCGATTACTTTTGCACCTTGGGATTTGAAATTGTTGGAGAAATATTGACGCATTGAGTGAGAAGTGTTTATTACACTTTATAATTTATAAGTATCGCGCGAACAATGTAAGACATCCGATTATTATTCGAGATAATATGACGCGCTAATGCAGGCCTGTCTACGAAAAGCTACCATTTTCTTGTCGCTCCGGGATGAAATCTCGATGCGTTTCTGACATGTCGGAAGGTTCGCTAGCGTGTATTAGCTTAATTAACGCGACACCATTGCGGTACCGTTCTCCCGTACTTAAGGGACATGAAAGGTCGTCGCTTGCTAACGCAAGCGAGAGATACGACGAGGTTGCGCAATCCTCAGCTGTGTCGAACGAGACGGCCCTCGCAAGAGCGACGTCGGTTTGCGTGTCGGCGCTTGCGATCTACGATCTAAGGATCGATCCGGGGCACGAAATCGAGGACATTAATCAGCGTTCGGCGGCGTTCTGCGCACGTGGGTGGCCGTTACTGACGCAAATCGGCTCTTTCTCCCGGGTTGCGTTTACCCGCGTTGCGCGAGGTAAATCGAGCGAGGTCGAAGCTCCTCGAAGCGAGGCAAGGCAGGGCAGGGCAGGGCAAGGCGAGAGCGCTGGATTTTCGAAAGGCGGCTTTCGCGAAAGGTCGATCGTCCCCTTCGATATCTCCTCTCGCAGTTTCCATCGAGGAAAGCGAACTCGTGCGGTTTGTGTTGTTGCGCAAAACAAAAAAAAAAAAGAAGAGAAGAAAAGAAAGTATTTCTGGGAAATGCGAGTTTCCACGATTTATCGCACGCAAATTCATACGTCACCGCCGTGCAAATAAATAAATGTTCTCGAACTGTGTTCGAGCCTCGTGGTAAAGAAAAAAATACTCAGTTACTTTGCCGATGTGTTGTCGATTAACTTCCTTATAATTTACGATTAATGAATTCCGATTACATAAGATCGCACAATGCGCTTCTAAGAATCCTTCCCGTGATCCATTCTTGGCATGTTAACTCGCGAAATTTATGACAATCATTACGCTTCGATATCCTTTGTCTTGTCGCTCAAGCGAAGTAT